AGTAATGCCCTGGGGAAATTGGGGGAAGAGGCTCTAGAGCAGTCATGAAATGTAATCCAAATAGGGACAGAGTTCGGGAGGGCACCTGGTCCTAATATCATATCGCATGAAATCATATCTTACACCGCTAGACCTGTGCCCTGTTGTGTTTAGGGTGTGAATTGAACAAAAGGCCCCTAACCGTGTGCCCAAGAACATGCCACTGCCGGCAGTATCAAGGGTGGGATTATTCGGATATATTTCATAGTTAAAATATCATATCATAGTATGGTATATTGTCTTACGGTTTACTGACTGTAAAGGAATAAATTAATCAACCCATCGTCATCGGTTTCCATTTACCCAACCTTAAACTGTAAAAACTCTCCCACATTATCCTTGGTAACCCCTTGAATCCTTATCTTAATAATACCGTAGCCTAACCCCTCGGCAGACGATCCCGCTAGAGGCTAAACTCAAGGTTTGGATTTTTCCTAAAGGCCCGCCCCTTCAGAAGACTTGCCTTTGCAGACTATCACTAGGATATTACAGGATTCCCTAGTTCGGCTAGTAGAGTCTCTTCTATGTCGCTCAGCTCCTAACAATAAATATCACAGGCAACTGATACCTATTAATGCTTGCCGAGTGATGAAATGTGAGGAAACCTCCCGTTAGCTTCAAGCCACCTGCAGGAACCCAGCCACCCCATCCATCCAGAACGCTAGGGAATACGGATGATAGTTGATAATTTTGGGCCTGGGACGATCTATCCACCTTCCGATCTTTCCTCGGGGCATAACTTAGCCCGCAAAGCCGCAGGTCGAAAATACTAGGGTGCTACCGTAGGCGAGTTCTGATATGGGTGGAGTGAATAGATGCGCAACATAAAGCATACGTGGATATCAGAAAACACCAGCACCGGCGTGGGATGCGCCACATCGCATTTGAGCACCTCGCACTTAAGATATTCGTGAGGTTATCGCCCATCGGTATGCCCGCCCAATTCAGGCTGTGCCAGGGGGATTGGAGAATGCAGCGTCTAGTATGCAGTATGTGATTTTTCGGGAATATCGATGGTGGAACACAATGCGATCCTGCGCGCTAGTGGTTTGCTGCTGTACAAGAACTGCAATCGAGCAAAACCCGGTGCTGTGTAGCGTACCGTTACAGTATGGTGCAGGGCCTGGGGGTGGTCGCCATAGAGAACGTACCGTAATAGTAAAGCAATTCATCATCCAAGCGTTCCCACAACAAAAATTCCCCACTCCACGATCCCAATTGGCGTCTACTAGCCCACTTGCCAGTTCCGCTATTTAGATCTCGGGGGTTTAGCATTCGATTGGATTGAGTAGAGCACCGAAGGAAGACACTGCCCTAGCCGAGTTCTCACATCCATACCCCCACAACACGCACTCTCCCCAGCAGCATGAGCCCTACGGAACCTCAGCCGGGCACGAAAGCTTGGAAGCCTCAAGCCAGCAGAAGCCATTCGGGGTATATGCTTTCAGAGCTTCCCCTGGAAAGGGAGCGGGTAGCTATCTGTTCTCCAAACATTTCCACACTTTGTGGTAGGCTAGTCCATTGTTTGCCTCTCTAAAATTCATCCGCAGCTTCCACTGTAGCCACTCCATTTCCGCCGGGAGGTTACTGGGGAAGAAAACGCGCCGCTCGGGTGGGGTGTAGATCGAGGGATACAGCGAACGGAAAAACTAGGGCGGTGCCAAAAGTGCGATGATCTCTCTACGAGTAGTCTTGAAGTGCACCCGTTAAATTTACGATAGGATAGGTCAGTAGGGTACCGGTAGTTGGTCGGCTTTTGGCCAATTGAACGGATTCGGCTACTGTGAGCTCCTGCCTTAGAGGAATCTGGAGGTTGGCCAATCCGGTTGATATTTATGGGATCGGAAGTTGCGCATTGGGGAGGAATTTAACGCAAAATTCTTTCGCCCATCGAGCCTGTCATTGGCACTGCTGGATGAAGTGGACCTTCTGCCGCTGACACCTTCAGCCGATCTTCAACAATTTTGCTACTCGTACAGGTAACAAGTTGCCGAGACCGGTAAGGCGTTGCTACGTCAATGGCCAAGACATGCTGGTTGCCGTAGCGACGAGTGGCCACAAACAATAGGCCTCTTCCCAGCCTCCTACCTTCCAAGGCGCAACTACCAACCACCAGCCATCCAGCGGAATTACCCCCCCCGTTTTTTTCACCCCCCTCCCACCCACTGTTCACTCATACACAAACGAACCACCCACCCTCATTTTCTCAGGCTGCCGGTTTTGGCTCATCACGATTTTACGAATTCCTCCTTCATTCCTATTGACAAACTTCGATTCTTCTCTGCTGCATATACTTTATACTTTTCCCCCACTTCTGTGTGCACTGGCACGGTGGTAGCTAGCCATGGCTCCTCGTCCGTTTCCCGTCTTCGCTCCTTCTCTGGGGAATTATCCTAGCCCCAGAGACTTGAGTGGTCCGTCCAAAATCCTCAGTAAACGTACCCACCGCCTTCCCCGCTCATCAGAACCTGCCTCTTGGTCATCAGAACTTTTCAATGAGCTCTTCTCACGTGCTGTTGGCTTCTTCACGACCCTTGAACCGTCACCCTCGACGCTCGAAGGACGGGATCTAGAGCCGCGGACATCGTATGTCAAACCAAAATCGATGACTGCCGGTGTGCTCGTCGTCTTCTGTCTACTTGGAGCGTCGATTGGACTTATGGTTCTCTGGCTATTCGTTCGTAAGGGTGGGTTCATGTGGAAGGACTCCGACTGGGAAGATTACAAATCCTCTGTGCTCCGTCGGCCAGCTTCTCGCCCGGACGATGCTATCACGGTTTTCTCAGATGGTTCCACTCGTCGTGGAGGCGGAAGCACAATGGGGGCTCGCACGGTCGTCCTCGGAGAGCTCGACACAACGTACACCAAATCCGAAGTCACCCGCGGACCCCGCGCCAAGGAAGTTACGGAAAAGAGGAGCGCTAAATCTGTCGTGGGAGGACTGTGGGCGCAGGCTCAAGATGCGTTCGGGAGGTTACGTGGCGGAGATGGAGATGTAGCGGTGATCCACCGCCCCCGCCGCGTCAAGCGGCAAATGAGAGAAGCGGACGTCCGATCTGTCACCACTATGGGAACTTTTATCGATAACCAGGAGCCTGCTCGTCCCGCAGGCTGGAAACCGGAGGACTCGGACTTGGCCAATTATCCAGATATGACTCGTGGGCCGACCGTTATCAGACACCCGCCATCTGCGTTGAAAAAGTCTGGGACTGGGGCATCCAGGAATGCCGCCAGACGCAGGTATCAGGACAATGATAGCGATGATTCAGATAGCTCGTCGTCTTCGGACTCTGACTCTGACTCGGAGGATGAGAGTGTTACTCAGAGTGCGCTGGGGATGGCTAAGGGAACGAAGGTCTATACACACCCGTACGTGATCGGACGGCAACCGCAGGATAGGGCTGGCAGTAGCTCTGGAGGTACATACGGAGTTCTGCCTCCCGCCCCACAAACGTCGAATGCCCTCGTTCCGGTCGAAACTAGCTTGGTGCACGTGCAAACCGGGATGGTGCATGTTCCGCGAGGGGGGGCTCCAAGAAGCTCCAGGAAGAAGGGGTATAGGAAGGGGAGTGCGGGTAGTCTGAGCTCGGATGGGAGTATGGGGAGTTCCAATGCTTAAGCTATGAGGTTATGATTATGTCTTGTCTGGTGAGGCTGTCATGTGGGGGGGGTTACATCGTACCTTTTTTTCTATTATCTTTTTCTTTTCCTCTTTTCCTCCTTGAGAAGGAGGGGCAGCATATTTGGGTAGCCTATCCGTCATGGGAAGGCTGGAATAGGAAAGGTGTTTTTCATATTCTACTACCGTACAACTCTGTGTTCCTTCCTGCTGTGCCCTTTATCGTGTCGCATTTAGGGATAGGACGAAGAGGGCCTTGATTATTAGTCTAGGGAGCGACAATGGGTGGACGTCATGTAGATAACGCAGCGCACGGTAGGTGTGGTGCCGGTGGTTGGAAATGAAACGATGGTCTGAATAGTGTAGCGGGGGTGGGGGCCCTAGTTATCCGCCGATGTGCCCGGACCGTACCGGGCACTTGTAAATACAGTACGTTGCCGTATCCATCAGTCGTATCGTGGCAACAACGGTGATGATGCCGTGAGAGATGGATAACTTATGCTTGGACAAGGCGAATACTCGTAGACGTTACATAGCGGCGGTGCGGTGTTACGCTATTCCAAATACCCTTGCTAATGGAGTGAAGATGTGCTTTGTGAGGAACCTGGGAAAATTGCATACGGGTACTGTACCGGTACTCGTACTCGAGTGCAAGTATCGTATTATATGATACCGGCACTATTCGAGAAGCTTGTACCTGTCTAAATGTGACCAGTGCGGAACCCTATTCCACAATCACAATTAGGGATGCAGGAGGCAAATTTCTTGTATTACTGTATGTTGCCTCGCGGGATGCTACGAGTACAGCAGGAGTCTAAGGGTGGGGTGGTGAGGGGGTTGAGCTACCATAAGGCGGGCCTTGCAGCGACGATGTGCTACCGAACTGAAGGCTATTGATCGGCGCTACCGGAACTACTGTACTACATGTGTAGGCCTACGGTAAGTGGTAAGTGGTACGATACCCGTAGATCACTCTCATGTCCCGTGATAGAGCTCTCTTGATGAGGTGCGTGACATGTTAGCGGAATCATGATGGGAATTAAGGTAGTTACAGGCACAGAGCTCGTCTGGGGCGGACCACACACCCTCACGACTTGGACTACAGCTCGACTCAACGTGAGGGTGTGGAGAGCGGGAGAAGGGAGGGAATTGCTATCTTTCACGTGCTCTTCTCTCTCCCCCTCCTCTTTGGCTTCCCGATCCCCATCTACGAGTACCCTACGGTATGATATCCCATTCTGAACAGTACGAGTACTGTACGAGTATCGTACTCGAGTAGGATTCGTCTTGGCAGCACCTCTCTCTCTCTTTCACTCCCTCCCTTCACCCTCTTTCCTTCCTCGCCAAACAAATTCTTCTCTCTAAACCTCCCCACCCCCCTTTCCAATATTTCAAAGCCCAGCAATGCCCCCAAACAAGGTTCGCTTCTCGCCCACCGTCTCCCGATCCCACACCCCACCGCGCTCACCTTCGCCAACTTCCTCCAACCCATCAATCCTCTATAACACCGATGATGACCCAGATTCCGACGACGATGATTCCCTGCACCGGAGCCTCCTTCCGACAACAGCACGGCTGCCGGTGCGCCGGCGCAGACGACTGGGTAAGCAGAACGTATGCATGAGGTTTGGAATGACGGTCTTGCTGGCTGCGGCTTTACTGGGCTTGGGGGTTTTGTTCGGAGTTATCTTTTGGGAAAATGAGGAGGGGATTGGTGCGTTTTCCTTCGGTCCTGGGGGGTGAAGGTCGCGATCGGGGGGAAGGGGGATTATCGGGGTCTGAGATCAGGGAAGAAGGGCTGACGGAAGGTGCGCCGGGTCCGGGGTGCAGTCGACGATGGCATTCTGGTGGACGCCCCGAGGGGGGCAGTCAGTAGTGATGTGGGACCCTCTCCCCTGATCGTTCGTCCGAAGATTTGGTTGGCGGGGGGATGTGTGCTGATCCTGTGTGATGCGCTAGGTTCTTGCCTGTTCGAGAATTGGTGTGGGGCTTTTGAAGAAGGGTGGGAATGCGGTCGATGCTGCCATCGGTATCAAAGCTTCTATATTTGCTCTGGCTAGGTTGCGGTGCTGATGGACGTGCAAGGGACCGCGGTATGCATCGGGGTTGTGAATAGCTTTGCCAGCGGTATCGGCGGTGGGGGGTTCATGGTTGTGCGCGAGGGTAATGGGCGATCTCAAGCTTACAATTTTAGAGAAACGGCGCCGGGAAGTGCTTCTCGGGATATGTACAGTGGTTTGTCCTCTTCCTTCTACGGTGCCTTATCGTAGGGTCCCGGTTAGGGCACCGGCTGACTGGGTATACTATCGTACAGCCGATCCACTGGGGGCACGGGTTGGCGGTCTTGCGGTTGCGATCCCCGGAGAAGTCCACGGATACGCTACGGCACATGCCCGGTCTGGCCGGATACCCTGGCAGGATATTTGGCAGCCGTCGATAGACTTGGCGAGAAGAGGTTTCCACATCCCGCCGACGCTGGCAGCAATAATCGCCAAGGAGGCACCATTCTTTCAACAACACAGGGAAGAATGGGGATTTTTGTTTAACCAGGACACCGGCGAGCTCTTACAGGTTGGGGAGCTTATGAAGAGGGAGTCGTACGCGCGCACACTTGAGGTTATTGCTGGCAAGGGGGAGTATAGTCGCGGTGGGGTTTATTCCGGGGTGAAGCAGTTCTATAACGGGAGTATTGCAGAGCAAATCGTTGAGGCTGCGAACAAGCATGGGGGTATATTGACTACTGAAGACTTTTCGAGGTATTTTACGGTCGTCGAGGACACGCTCAAGACGAGCTTTTGCGGACGGCAGGTTATTACCTGCCCACCCCCCTGCAGGTATGTCTAGCAGGTCTGGCGCTTCGGGTATATGGGGGACGCTTTTCTAATCGAATTGGTTGGTGGGTTGCAGCGGAGCTGTGTTGATCGAGGGGTTGAATATTGCTGAAAGGCTGGATATGGGCGATCCCGATAAGTCAATATCGTACCATTATTTAGTGGAGTATGCACTTTCGTTTCACAAACATGGTGAGATGGACTAACTGCTCGCGATGCAGGACAATGAAGTGGATATCAGCAGGGCGCACCGAACTGGGAGATCCTGCGGACCCAGTGGTGGCATCCAACTCCGAGAGGATACACCAACTGCAAAGCAAATCCTATGCAGAAGCCGTTCGAGCGAACATATCCGCTGACACCACCTATTCGTGGGAGCACTACAATCCGGCATACGAGCCGGTAGATCCCAAGGGAACCTCGCACCTGTCCGTGCTGGACAACGATGGGAATGCCGTAGCCCTCACCACCACCGTGAACCTGTACTGGGGCGCCAAAGTCCATGACCCACAAACCGGGATCGTCCTAAACTCGGAGATGGACGACTTTTCTATCCCTGGTCGCTCAAACGCGTATCGTCTCGAGCCGTCGGTATATAACTACATCATCCCCCGCAAGAGGCCCCTATCATCCACCACTCCCACAATCATCATCGAGGAGGACGGGGCGCCCGGACTCGTCATCGGCGGCTCGGGTGGCTCGCGAATTGTCACAGGCGTATTCCAGGCGATCGTGAAGAATTACCTATGGGGATATGGTCTTTTGGACACCATCAAGAGTCCTCGGTTGCACCACCAGTTGATTCCCGAGGTGGTGACTGCCGAGAGCGGCACGGAGAAATGGATCCTTGAAGGCCTTGAGGAGCGTGGTCACGTCGTTGAACAAAGGGGCATCGGGGAAGCGTCAGGCGGGAGCGTCATCCAAGTGGTGAAGGGTATGGCCAGCGGCCGAGTGGAAGCTGTGGCCGATTGGTGGAGAAAAGGAGGTGTAAGTCCCCCCCCCCTTTCTTCCTTCCTCTCCCCCCTTTGCCGTTTTTCGCCTTTGCTTCCCTCCGTCCCCCCACCGATCGATTTGGGTTCTTAGTGCGGACGTCGCCGGGGTCACTTTTTCTACTCTGTCCCGTTTAGCACAGCAGTCGATCGGACAGGGCTGATTGCGTTCTTCAGAGAGCCGCCGGGTATTGAATTGAACGCGTACCAGTGTGATAAGCCCGCGGGGGTGGGGTAAGTCCGGTGTTTGAGCAGCACTGGCCCTGATACGGGAGCGAGGGTCTTGTTGGGGGAAATCTCCGTGCTCATCTCTACCGCTCTACCCCTCCCATATGCCAGTAAATAAATAACTTGATAGAACGGGTATCATACAAGCACTGTGTAGACGTGGGTCGCAGGCTGAGATAGGTTGTATAGAAGCGCTATTCTTTTGTCTATTATTTTTTTTCTTTTTCTTTTCTTTTCTTTTGCAGTACCGGTACTCGTAGTCATGGAATGGGATACGGTGGTGGTTTCGGCTCGTTCCTCTGGTACGGTAGCGGAAATTACAATAACTATTAATTTTTGCTCCTTACTCCATTTTTCGACCACTTTTTTTTTTTTACCCCCCCCGAGAGGATTGGTATGATATCGGCAATTACTTGGGGATATTTTGGTTGGCGGCCAGGTTCAAGTTCCAGTTCCAGTTCCTGAGCAACGAGTTTTCAGGGTGGGGCAGATCTGAATTCCATTTGTTGGCCCAATGTTGGGGTACCGGTAGACTTTTTCCGGACGCGGATTACCGGGGTTCTCGTTTCGCCTACCCTGCTTTGGGAGTGAGGGCTACCCCGGCTGCAAATCTGGGCGCCGTTTGGAAGGGGCGGGTATGAGATTATGGTCATCTAAGATATCTGCTGTGATAGCACATCACAGTACCTCCCCAGTAGGGTAGTATGGAGCGTAGTTATTAGCAATACGATGGTTTCCTCATCGTTAAAGAGGGGCGGAGGGAGGTGCCGGTGGAGGGATTGCTGTGGTCGGAAGTAAGGTAAGGCACTGTACCGGTACCAGTTCATGATTCCCTCCTTGCGGGGTGCCATGGTGGAAGTTGGAAGGGGGCGGAGATATCGATTGTATGGCTTTGACGGTACGGTGCTCGTATGGTAGACTGATCGAGTACCGGAAGATGTGTTACGGGGCGTTTACGCGGATCCGTTTTAGCTTTTGGAAGCTGTGGAATGCATTGGAACTCGGAAGGGACTTTGGTGGATGGGGCCATACAGTGCAGCATCATAATACCGGTAGTCCGTTACTCTACCTGTGCAGTGGCGGGAGGGTTCAGGGTTGGGCTAGATTCCTTGGCTGTTGAGCACGGCTGTTCTGATAGGGTCATAGGTGTGGGTTATTGGGTGTGGATGGAGGGGGAAGGGAGGAAGGATTATTGTTGTTGATGGATGGACGGACAGCTATCATACGCCACTGGATGGGCATACAGTACGAGGAGGGAGGAAGGAAAGAGGGAAAAAAAGGAGAAAAGGGGAGCTAGTTCAACGGCACCGGGATGTGTTCTTTTTGAAATCCTTTCCAGCCCCAACGCTTTTTTTTATTTGATAGTGCATCATACACTCCCGGTACAGGTATGTCCCAACATACCTAGCCTGGTTATATCTCACCTATCTATGGTACACGAACTATATTCACCTCCGCCCCTCATACAAGTAGAACAAACTTCCCCTCTAATAGGGGAAAAAAAAAATACTCCTGGCCCATCTACTCCCTTTCCTCTCCCCCATCCGTCCATACCTTTATTAGAACTCCTACCCCCCCCCCTCCCTCCCCCTCCTCCTCCTCTTTCCCTCCCCTTCTCCCTCCTGTCAATTCTTGAAATTTCTCTTTCGTTTCCCTTCTTGTTCTTCCTTCTGCACTTTAATACCCATTTCCCTTTCACCCTGCCCCTGGCATCACCACCGTCAACCATACCATCGCTCTCTACCGGAGCCTCCTTCCGCCTGCATATCGGAATTCTCTCCCTGCTGCTCATCGTTTTACCCTCCCTTTCCTCCTGCACCGCCTCCCTCCCTCCTCCTCCACCTGTGCCCGCAGCGGAGCCTTCTTCAGGAGGGGAAGGAATCATAGATACCGCAAGATGGCGTCCGATACTTCGGCCAGCGTCGCTGCTATAATGCGGCATAATGGGACGGTGGGGGAGCCCGGGGGCAAGAAGAGACAGGTCGCACCGAGTTACTCCGCAAAATTTAACCTTCCGGCGCACTTTATCGGTGGGAATCATCTTGCTGTTGCTTCCACTGGTCCGGTAAAGGACTTTGTTGCGTCCAACGATGGGCATACGGTTATTGAGAAGGTATGAACCCTTATCCTCATCATTTTTTAGCTGTTTTCGGCGGCAATTGGTCGAGGAGGGGCTAATTTGGTAATTTTGTTTCCATGGGGGATTTAGGTTCTGATTGCAAACAACGGAATTGCAGCGGTTAAAGAGATTAGAAGTGTGAGGAAATGGGCGTATGAGACGTTCGGTGATGAGAGAGCTATACAGTTCACCGTCATGGCTACGCCGGAAGATTTACAGGCCAATGCGGATTACATTCGTATGGCTGACCAATACGTTGAGGTTTGTTTCCTTCCATATTAAGACCCCCTCACCTACTAGTAGCTATCTACTTATTGCCCCGCTATCTCGCGGGGAACAGTGGTTGGTGGGCCTTGGGGGGTGGTTGGTTTGAAACCAAAAGTTTATTTGGAGCCTCACCCGAAGCTAACTGGTTGCGTGGTGGCGACGAGATAGGTACCTGGGGGCACGAATAATAATAACTATGCCAACGTGGAGTTAATTGTTGATGTTGCGGAGAGGATGGGGGTTCATGCTGTTTGGGCTGGATGGTGCGTTTGCTTTGGTCAACGAATTTGAGGATGGGGATAGAAGGGACCCTGTTTTTTTTTTATTCTTGGAGGGGTGGTGATGCTGATTTTTCCTTTTTTTTATACAGGGGTCATGCGAGCGAGAACCCGAAACTGCCGGAGAGCTTGGCTGCGTCGAAGAATAAGATTGTTTTCATCGGCCCGCCTGGCTCGGCTATGAGGTCTCTGGGAGATAAGATCTCGTCGACAATCGTAGCTCAGCATGCTGAGGTTCCGTGTATTCCTTGGAGCGGACTAGGGGTCAACGAAGTACAGATTGACTCGGAGGGGTTGGTTACCGTTGCCGCCGATGTCTATGCTAAGGGGTGCACTCACTCAGCCGAAGAGGCTCTGCAGAAGGCGAAGGAGATTGGATTCCCAGTCATGATTAAGGCCTCGGAAGGTGGCGGTGGAAAGGGTATCCGAAAGGTCGACTCGGAAGAGGGCTTTACGAGCTTTTATAACCAGGTTGCCGGAGAAGTGCCTGGATCGCCAATTTTTGTCATGAAACTTGCTGGGAATGCTAGACATTTGGAGGTGCAGCTCTTGGCGGACGAGTACGGAAATAATATCTCGCTTTTCGGACGTGATTGTTCCGTACAGAGGAGGCATCAAAAGATTATCGAGGAGGCACCCGTCACCGTTGCTAATCAGACCACATTCTCCAAGATGGAGAAGGCTGCCGTGCGATTAGGAAAGCTTGTGGGATATGTTTCTGCTGGTACTGTTGAGTATCTCTATTCTCACTCGGATGATAAATTCTACTTCCTCGAGTTGAACCCCCGTCTTCAGGTCGAACATCCTACCACTGAGATGGTTACTGGTGTAAATCTTCCCGCTGCACAGCTTCAGATCGCTATGGGTCTACCTCTGCACAGGATACGTGATATCCGCCTCTTGTACGGTGTTGATCCAGCATCCACCAGTGAGATAGATTTCGATTTTTCCAAAGATGGCTCGCAACTTACCCAACGAAGGCCAACCCCTAAGGGCCACACCACCGCCTGCCGTATCACTTCCGAGGATCCCGGTGAAGGCTTCAAGCCCTCTAGCGGTATGATGCACGAGCTGAATTTCCGATCCTCCTCAAACGTGTGGGGCTACTTCTCTGTTGGTACAGCCGGAGGCATTCATTCCTTCTCCGACTCGCAGTTCGGTCATATTTTCGCCTATGGTGAGAATCGTAGTGCGTCCCGAAAACACATGGTTGTTGCTCTGAAGGAATTGAGTATTCGTGGTGATTTCAGGACGACGGTCGAGTACCTTATTAAGCTCTTGGAAACACCGGCTTTCGAAGATAACACTATCACTACTGGATGGCTCGACGAGCTTATCTCTAACAAGCTTACCACTGAGCGACCGGATACATTCCTCGCTGTTGTTTGCGGTGCTGTCACCAAGGCTCATGTTGCGAGCGAGATTTGTATGACTGAGTACAAGGCTTCTTTGGAGAGGGGCCAGGTCCCTGCCAAGGATATCCTGAAGACAGTATTCCCGGTCGACTTCATCTACGAGGGTAAGCGTTATAAGTTCACGGCTACACGATCGAGTGCGGATTCCTACCATCTTTTCATTAACGGCTCTAAGTGCAGTGTCGGCGTGAGGGCCTTGTCTGACGGTGGTTTGCTGATCCTGTTGAGCGGACGCAGTCATAACGTCTATTGGAAAGAGGAGGTCGGAGCCACTCGTGTTAGTGTGGATAGCAAGACGTGTCTGTTGGAGCAGGAGAACGACCCTACACAGCTTCGAACACCCTCCCCCGGAAAGCTAGTCAAGTTCCTCGTCGAGAATGGGGAGCATGTCAAGAAGGGACAGGCATTCGCTGAAGTTGAGGTTATGAAAATGTACATGCCTCTTCTTGCGCAGGAGGACGGCCACGTTCAACTCATCAAGCAGCCGGGATCCACTCTTGAGGCCGGTGACATTCTCGGTATATTAGCTTTAGATGACCCAAGCCGTGTCAAGCATGCTACTCCCTTCGATGGTCAACTCCCTGACTTTGGCCCGGCGCAGGTCGTCGGCACCAAACCACCGCAGAGATTCACACTCCTCACCACCGTCCTTAAGAACATTATTGATGGTTACGACAACCAGGTCATCATGGCCACCTCCCTCAAGGAGCTCATCCAGGTTCTTCGTGACTCAGGGCTTCCTTACGGGGAATGGGCTGCGCAATTTTCTGCCCTGCACGCTAGGATGCCACAGAAACTTGATGCTATCTTCTCGCAAGCTGTAGACAGGGCTAAGTCCCGCAAGGGAGAATTCCCGGCGAAGCAGCTTCGCAAGAACTTGGACAAGTTCTTGGAGGACCATGTTCCTGCTGGTGATGTAGAGCTCTTGAAGTCTGGTCTGTTGCCGTTGATTGAGATTATGGATCGGTATTCCGACGGGCTGAAAGTTCACGAATTGTCGGTTTTCCTGGGGCTTATGGAACAGTATTGGAGTATTGAGAAGTTATTCTCGGTAGGTTTATTATTCCGGCATTGGATGGGCTTAACCGTGTGCTAATGTTTTATAGGGACCAAATACCCGTGACGAAGACGTTATTCTTAGACTTCGTGATGAAAATAGGGACGATATTAATAAGGTTGTCCAGGCGGTGCTTTCTCACAGTAGAATAGCGTCCAAGAATAATCTCATCCTGGCAATTCTAGAAGAGTACCGCCCTAACAAGCCCAACAATGGTCCTATCGTCAAATTCTTCCGGCCAATTCTCAAGAGGCTCGCCGAGTTGGAGTCCCGTGTTTCGGCTAAGGTTGCGCTTAAGGCTCGTGAAGTCCTCATTCAGTGTGCTCTGCCTTCCCTCGAGGAGAGAGCTGCTCAAATGGAACATATCCTCCGGTCGTCCGTTGTCGAGTCGCGGTATGGCGAGACTGGATGGGAGCACAGAACTCCTCACCAAGAGACCCTGAAGGAGGTTATCGACTCCAAGTATACTGTCTTTGATGTTCTTCCCACATTCTTCGCTCATGCCGACCCCTGGGTTTCTTTGGCTGCTTTGGAGGTATACGTTCGCAGGGCGTACAGGGCTTATGAGCTACATGCTGTCAACTACCACAATTTGGATTCTGATCCTCCATTTATCGTCACTTGGGATTTCCAGTTAAGGAAGGTTGGTGTTACCGAGTATGGTATGACCCAGCCTTCGGCTCCGGCTACTCCTACTGTTGAGCGCGAGGGATTCAAGCGTGTTGGATCTATCAGTGATCTTTCGTTCCTGGTCGGAAAGTCTGAGATCGAGCCAGTCCGGAAGGGTGTTATTATTCCCGTCACCTTCCTTGACGAAGCCGAGGAGTACCTTGCCCGTGCTCTCGAGCTCATTCCCCTCGGACGGGGAGCTAGGCCTGCCGGAAACGGATTAATGGCTAATCTTGAAGGACGAAGGCGGTCTATGCCCCTTTCTGCGCTCGAAGCCGAAGAGGAGGATTCCCTATCTGCTGTTTGTAACGTCGCCGTCCGTGATGCCGAATCCATGGATGATAAGGACCTTTTGGAGAGAATCCTTCCGCTTGTCGCTGATCACAAGGACGAGCTTCTTTCCCGCAACGTTCGTCGTATCACTTTCATCTGTGGTCACAAGGACGGATCCTATCCTGGGTACTTCACCTTCCGTGGCCCCGAATATCGCGAGGAGCAGAGCATTCGTCATATCGAACCTGCATTGGCTTTCCAGCTTGAACTGGGCAGGTTGTCAAACTTTACCATCAAGCCGGTCTTCACCGAGAACCGCAATATCCACGTCTACGAGGCGTACGGTAAGGAGGTTCAGAGCGACAAGAGGTACTTTACTCGTGCCGTCGTTCGTCCGGGTCGCCTGCGAGATGAGATCCCGACTGCCGATTACTTGATATCCGAGACCGATCGCTTGGTCAATGACATCCTTGACGCTTTGGAGATTATCGGAAACAACAACTCTGACCTTAACCACATCTTCATCAATTTCACCCCTGTTTTCCCCCTCAGCCCCGAGGAGATCGAGCCTGCTCTTGGCGGGTTCATCGAGCGTTTCGGGAGACGCCTTTGGAGACTCCGTGTCACCGGTGCTGAGATCCGTATCATCTGTACCGACCCTAAGAGCGGCCTTGCATACCCCCTTCGTGTCATCATCCAGAACGTGTCTGGATACGTCATTCAAGTTGAGATGTATGCTGAGCGAAAAACTGATAAGGGGCAATGGGTATTCCACAGCATCGGCACCAAGTCTGGATCCATGCACCTTCGTGCTGTCAATACTCCATACGCTGCCAAGGAATGGCTACAGCCCAAGAGGTACAAGGCGCATCTTATGGGAACGCAATACGTGTACGATTTCCCAGAGCTATTCAGGCAAGCTTTCCATCAGAGCTGGCTGAAGTCCGCCAAGAAGGTTCCTTCGTTTAAGGAGAGGATTCCGCCTCTTACTGAGTGCTTAGAATATAGCGAGTTGGTATTGGATGATAATGGTGGTCTCGCTGAGGTTCAGCGCGAGCCGGGAACTAACGCTCATGGTATGGTTGGTTGGGTATTAACCGCCAAGACTCCCGAGTATCCTCGAGGACGCAAGTTTGTCATTATTGCCAACGACGTCACCTTCAGAATCGGATCTTTCGGTCCCGCCGAAGATAGGTTTTTCCACAAGTGCACAGAGTTTGCGCGAAAATTGGGCGTCCCGAGAATATACTTGTCGGCCAATTCAGGTGCTAGAATTGGCTTGGCGGAGGAGTTGATCCCGCATTTTGAGGTTGCGTGGAATGAGGCGGATAAGCCAGAGTCTGGGTTCAAGTACCTCTACTTCACTCCGGAAGTCAACAAGAAGTTTGCGGATAGGAAGACTAAGGCGGTTCTTACTGAGCGGGTTGTTGAGGAGGGCAAAGAGAGATACAAGATTACGACTATTATCGGACAGGAAGATGGGCTGGGTGTTGAATGTTTGAAGGGATCTGGGTTGATTGCGGGCGCTACGAGTAGGGCGTATGAAGATATCTTTACTGTCACCCTTGTTACGTGCCGATCCGTCGGTATTGGTGCCTACTTGGTTCGCTTGGGTCAACGTGCCATTCAGATTGAGGGACAGCCTATCGTGAGTTTTTTGCTTTGTCTGATTTTACAACTGATTTTTACTAATTTTTACTTTTTATTTTTTATTTTTTTTAGATTCTTACTGGTGCTCCAGCTATTAACAAATTGCTTGGCCGTGAGGTTTATACTTCAAACTTGCAATTGGGAGGTACTCAGATTATGTACCGTAATGGCATCTCTCACTTGACTGCCAATGATGACTTCGAGGGTGTCCAGAAGATTGTTGAGTGGATGTCGTTCGTTCCTGAGAGACGCGGGGCGCCTGTTCCTATCTCACCCTCCCCGGATCCGTGGGACCGTGATATCACATATACCCCTCCCAGCACCAGAGAGGCCTATGACGTTAGATGGCTACTTGCCGGAAAGGATGACGAAGAAGGGTATCTTTCCGGTCTATTTGATAAGGGGTCCTTCCAAGAGACTCTCAGCGGGTGGGCTAGAACCGTCGTTGTTGGCCGCGCTCGCATTGCTGGTATCCCCATTGGTGTCATCGCGGTTGAGACCCGCTCAGTCGAGAATGTTACCCCTGCTGATCCCGCTAACCCTGACTCTACGGAAATGGTCTCGCTTGAGGCTGGTCAGGTCTGGTATCCTAACTCTGCGTTCAAGACTGCTCAGGCTATCAATGACTTCAATCATGGAGAGCAATTGCCGTTAATGATCCTTGCCAACTGGCGTGGGTTCTCTGGTGGTCAGAGGGATATGTACAACGAGGTTCTCAAGTATGGATCTATGATTGTTGATGCTCTAGTCAAGTATGAGCAGCCGATCTTTGTCTACATTCCACCCTATGGTGAGCTCCGTGGTGGTTCATGGGTATGTTCTCTTTCTTTTTTATGGGTTGTTCGATTTGCCGATTATTATAGGTCGTGGTGGATCCTACCATCAACGCAAGCATGATGGAAATGTATGCCGACGAGGAAGCCCGCGCCGGTGTCCTTGAGCCAGAGGGTATCATCGGCATCAAGTATCGTCGCGACAAACAGCTCGAGACAATGGCCCGCCTCGATCACGTGTACTCAGAATACCGCCACAAACTCTCCTCAGGAACCCTTTCCCAGGCGGAATCCTCCGAAATCAAAGTCAAGATGGCCGAGCGCGAAAGCCTCCTCATGCCGATCTACACTCAGATCTCCCTGCAGTTCGCCGACCTGCATGATCGTGCAGGCCGCATGATGGCCAAGGGCACTATCCGTCAACCCCTACAATGGCAGCACGCGCGCAGGTTCTTTTACTGGCGTATCCGCCGTAGATTGAACGAGGAGCTCTTCCTCAAGAAGATGGGTCTTGCGGATCGCGGTTCCACTCGTGAGGAGAACCTTGAGCGCCTCAAATCACTCATCATCGTCGAAGGGGGGGAATCCACTGTCTTCGACGATAACGACAGACTCGTCGCGACTTGGTACGAAGATAACAAAAAGGAGGTGCTTGCTAAGATTGAAGGCCTACGCCAGGACGGGATCGCATCGGAGGTTGAAGGGCTTTTGCAAAAGAACGGGAAGAGCGCGCTGCGGGGCGTTGCTGCTGCGTTGGCGAAGTTGCCAGGTGAGGATAGGGAGGAGGTTATGAAGATGCTTGCCGGTGGGAAATAGTTAATTACCTTTGTCTCTTTTCTCTTCATTTTTTTTTTCTCTTGCTCCTAAATAGCTTAGTTTCCTGTGTCACTTTTCTTCCTTTTCTTCCATATTTTTGTTTAAAAGTATTATTTTACGGATTGCATACATGGCTTATAGGGGGTGGATGGATGGGTGGGCGGAAGTAAATAGATGGGCGTACTATAATATATCCCGATTAGTGCCGATTTTTTGTGCGTTGCGCTATTAAGTGCGAGCTATACCAGTGACCAGATATCCATACCTAAATTTACAACCAGCTGACAAAAAGCTAGGGGCCATCCACTCAAAGTTCGTGGCGGATCTGGGGATACTGAATTATCAACATTTCATGGGGAAGCCCTGAAAATACCTCCTCTTGTAGTCTTGGAGGGGATCCCTTTACAGAGTCTCTAATGCCTTTTTGTATCGTATTATTTCTGTTTTACTACTGGGGTTGAAATCAATGAGGACAACCGTGTTGTAGGGGGCTAATTTTGGTAAAGGTGCGCCACATATTCGATTCTAAGGAGGACAATATAGCTAGGGTGTATCTCTCGCCAATTCCATAATATACTCATCTCCAACATGTGTACATGTTCTGGGCACCATTGTACTACTTACAAATTGGCTTCCCTTTACCCCTCTTTTGATTACACGTTGATAGATTACCTGTAGTCCAGTACAGCTTAAGTTCTGACACTCTTGAGTTATGTTTAGATTTTTAGTGGTTTGTATTTGCGGTATAGTATCTTATCCGAGGGGAAATTTTAGAAAATTTGCCCAAATAAAACTCGATCAAGAGCCATGTATTTTGAGAGATCCCGCACCTGTCAATGCTCCCGACGCGCCACCCAACAACACCATATATACCACAAACCCAGCTTTCTTCGAGCCTTCACATCCCTATATATATGTCCGTTCGGTGTCACGCCGGCTGGCCAACCCCCCCGTCATTTCCTCCTCTGGCAAAATTGTACCACCACCCGAGCATACAGCAAGAACTCGCAGGGGAGACATGCTACAGGAGTGTGGAATTCGGCTTCCACACTAAGGGGAAAAATCTGGAAACCTAGAGCTCTATTGAAGCGGAGAACAAGGGATATCTATGGTGCCTCACCAGTAGGGGACAACTTCAACGTCACGGGACATTTTTCTCGCATTCAAGTGTGATACTGATTCCGCCCAGCATCCTACCTTACCACCGCTGCCACGGATCCTTGGAGACAATGGTTGAGGCTATAGCTGCGGACATTCAAAAGAGCCTTTGTGTTTTTTTCTAGATCCCCCCTACCTTTGTTGGATTTCCTATAGCATGCAGCTGTAACGGTATCATAAACCGGTGGGAGATATGGCGTTTCCGGGGATGTAGTTTTAAGGTGTGTAGTAAACATGCATGGGCTGGTGTATAATTATGATACTTTCACATCCTGTGCCGCTAGGCCGGGGTACAGGTTTTTGGTTTGCCTGATGCATGTTGCTATTGGGCGTCAGATATCATATCGGTATTATGAATCCGGTTTGGTGTCTGATAACCTCATTCACACCTGACGCCAGTAGGCATTGGGTGTTGGAATAGGGCTAGAGGCTTTTAGGGCCATGGGGGGTCATCATTTTTCAAGGAGTGACTTCCTCCGGTTCAAGGAAGATCCCAAGGTGGATGGAGATGAAAGGTTAGTTGTTTGTTCCATTTATAAGTAGTTTACCTAATAGTGTCAGATTTCCAAAATATTCGTATAACTCGCGAGCTTCGACCCTTGCGATCCAATGCATGTCCATCTATCTAGATGAGCAGGTTGTGTCTATCATCTCAGCCGGCTTCAATTCGGTAGCCGTAGAGCTTCCGGAGAGGACCAAGAGAAGATGGAATTGGTGGGAAACCAGCGATTCGGTGGATTTGAGAGGTGGTACAAAGGGTCCGAGAAAACCCCGGATATTGCATTGAAAATTGAGAATACCGATGGCGGTTCTGAAGTGAAATTTATCCTAGAAGTTGGCCTCGCAGAGACTTGGGGCATGCTAGTAGAGGACGCTAGGATGTGGCTGGAGGGGAGGGAAACTGTCTCTACCGTTATGCTTGTGAAGCTGCAAGAGGAGCCAGTCTACCATTGCCCGACTCAAATCCTTAGTGATGAGGATTTTCCCGGCTAGCGTTTCCCGGAAGTAAGGAGATTGGTGAAAAAAACTTCACACTTGATAGCGGGTACGGGCCAGCCATCTACAAGGGCTTTGCTTGGGTGGGGAGGATCAGCGGGTTCATTGAGATCTGGAGGCAGGACCCAGTGTCTGGGTTAGCCATTCGCATAGGTGATCGTATTGTAAGTCAGAACTTAGAGGTGGAAGAGGTAACTTGGGCTGACCTGCGCAGGACCTCATTGACCCTGACAAACTCCCGCATGTTAGCTTTCGGCTCCTCGATTTCCTCGATATCGCTAGTCAGGATGATCGTGAAATATGATTCAAATATCCTTTGACTGGAGACACTACCGCAACAAGCTGGGGGCCAGAATCAAGGAGCTAGAAGTGCCTAGATACGGCCAGATGGCAAATGAGTGCGAGGGATGGAACAACATGACTGACTACGATTAGCAACCTTCCCCCACCCCTTGCCCTGCATAGTCGCGATAGCTCTTTCTACCCAGGCCTCATGTCACGTTCATCGCGTCTTCTGGGATAGCTATCCCTAGTTTGCACTGTGCTCTGTTTTGCACTGACAGCCAATATATTCATAGCAAGTTCAACACTATTATCTTTCTCTTATTTTTTTTTCTTTTCTTGAATGTAGAGCTCCTACTCGGCCTTTATAGGCGGGGGGATGGAACCAAAGGCTTTTCTCCAGACACACCATGTCCCGACCATCTCACTTCAGCGTCTCTCTCGTGTTGTGGTGGAAGCAGTATTCAGCATGAAGGCTGTGATTGCAGTAATTGCGATGGATACGCCCAAACATGAAGATGTCCGACTAAGTCTGCTAAGATATAGAACTGTTTTCAAACCCTGCTATACAATTAGGCGAGTGCGGTTTGGAAGAGATTGGTGGTAGAACCTTTCGCACAAGAAAAGTCCAGCTGGATACCCACACAGGGTTTTTATTGTCGGACCAATGGTGAACCCACAAATGTGAACACAATTTACAACCATACGTTATTCCAAACGAACAGCCTTGAGATAGTTAACATCTACACTCAAGCACATGGCCCAACAAACCATCGCACACACCATATAACCGGCAATCCAACCCTAAAATTACAGTTTCCATCATGGCATATCACCCTTGAAGGTTTTCAAGAAATGATTTACTTAATATGCGGCTTGTGGGTAGATTCGTAGTTGGACGACAAAAGTCTTTCCCATATGACAGCATTAGGCCACCATAGTGGTCAGTTGAAGTTAGATGCAATAAAAGCCTCAGAAGTCACAAATTCTCCTGCGGAGGGACGGACCACCGCACCGCGAACCGGGAACTGTTTATAGCACCAGAGTGCCCGGGCGAGCAAGGTTATTGTAAAGTCACACCTCTTCCCCATGGATAGCCCTAAACCTAGAGAGACCGCCAGACCGCAGAGCACAGAAAGCCAACAGGGTTAACGAGTTCACTGAGCGATCACCGAAAGTAGTGAAGTTTGTGGGAGGCACTAGGGGTAGGGGGGAAGTATTTGGACAAGCAGGGGGATATAGATGACCAGTACAAGAATTGCTTCATTTGCACAAGCCGAGACTCCCAGATACCTAAAAGGAGAGTAATGCTAACTACGTAATAGCCAAGCTAATATCTAGGGACTATTTCTAGTCTTCACACAGCCGTCCGCCCCGCTCGTGTGTCCCAATAATTCATCACTGATACGAGTAAGGTCGGGCGGGTGGGGTGGGGGCGGTAAGGGCATTTGGATTCTCTGCTCCTGGAAAACCTATGGGTAACTGTGCAAAGGTAGACTGACAAGTTGAACGGGATGCATGAATCTGTCCCGGGGTAATTAGCTTGGGTGGGTTTCTCATGGAAATTCTGTCCTCAAGAACCTATGTAAGCTAAGCCAGGAAGGGGAGACCCCGCGATGTCCTGAGTCACGGGTGTCCAAACAACGCAGCACACTACCCTCTTGTAAACAACTGATCCCACACCATAAAGCACAGCAGTAAGGTACTGCGCCATAAAACTGGGTCATGCACTATAAGGTTCGGTACTGGGTAATGATGTCTTTTTCTGGAGGAACAGGAGAGCTCATGTTGAAAAAGGGTTTGATTTATTGAGCTTCCCCATCAACTGGATTCCTTGTGCCCAATCCGTCCAGAATGGAGGCTTCCCGCATAAAGACTTAAACACCAGGCCTTAGCAACACTATAGAAGATAATTCCCAGGAGGGTGCTACTAAAAGAAGAGCAGCCAGGTTGGATCTAAAATATTCTATTCACCGATGGCGGGGGTTGATTTTGTATTTTAAAGATACACCCGGTTTCTTACCCTGCTATCATGTGAACCCTCCCCCTCCTACATCTAGCTTGGGATGTAATGAGCTTCCTGGTGCTGAACCAGATAATGGCATCCGGTCGGTCTGCGGCGAGCTACCATATCGTACCGCAACCCACAGCATCGTACGCCATGTAAACCTACCTCACCGCCAGAAGGGAGTTCAGACGAGTGACGGTCCATGATGACGTTCAAAGACAATCGGGGAAAGAGTGGGGATGGCCATGGTACCGGCTGGGGGATGATAGCACTCAAGTGCAGCCCTGCCTACGAACAGACTGAAGCAGAACCAGCTTTTCGGTGCACACACCGTCGCAGGTACTTTTCTAAGCATAGTAGTTTTGTTTATGATTTAGGATGGAAGGGGTTGAGAGTGTCGCTGGAGATTTAGTCTGGTGTTCCAGTTATTTTAGCGGGAGACCTTGGAGCCTTAATTATCCTAGGCTCTGAGGACAGACTATGCCTCAGCTTACTCAATGGCTCTTGGAATCCCTATTTAGGTTAGCCGATAAACGGTATCTGGTTTTGGAGAGCTGCCCCGCTTGGTCAATAGGAAGGTGGTATACTGAAGTACAGTACCGGTACTTGTATAGATAGAGCAATTAACCGAGCAGGTTCCACTGCAGCGGGCGTTCCAGGATGCTCGCTCATCGTAATACAAGATTTGTGCTGTGCTACGATACAGGATAGAACTTCGAGAAGTGCGGCACTCTCCGCCACCAATGCGGTAGGCCCAAGCAAC